TCGGATTCAAATGCCGTCGTACAATGTCCAACGACCGACGGCGGCGTCTGGAGGAGGATCTCGGCGAAACTCAAGCCCTGACTCATTAATCTTCACACCGGAATCTAATCTCAGCCTCTTTTCTTCCGCCTCCGTAAGCGTCGATCGCTGCTCTTCTACCTCCGACGCTCACGACCGTGACTATTCTCTCGTCTCCGCTCCTTCCCTGGTATATACATAAACTCTCCCACATTGTTCCTTCCTTCTCATGAAAAATTCGAAATCTGAGAGTGTTTGTGATTTAAGTATTATATTTTGAGTTTAGTCAAAAAAACCACTGAAATTATGATGCAAAGTTTCGTCAATTTGACTGTTCTTCATCATTGAATGACGCAGAAACAGATTCGTTTCTGTCAAATCTGGACCAACCGATATAATTAAATTTAATTAAATTATTCAGTAGCTTCAATTGCATTGTAATTTCATGATTTACAAATTTTGTTTAGAGACTACTACTACATGCAATAGGATAGAAATTGAATAGTGACGACTCTGGATTTTCGAAAATGTTTTGACAAAAAAAAAAAAAAATTACTAAGATCTTGCACTGTTTCTTGTTTTTGAATTTCGAATAAAATTTTGATTGTATGATTTGAGATGACAGGAGCGTGATCAACGGGTAAGTTCGAGCTGTAGAGATGTAGATCCAGACAAGCGTGGAACAGAGTGGAAGCACAGTCGCAACTCTAGAAAAGCAAATAAAGTCAAAGGTAAAACTGGTAATGCTAATGTGTAAATTGTTGAAAAAACTTGTCGAGAAAAAGAAAGCAATCAATTATGCTACAAATTAAAACCATGTTCTCTTTATTTACTTTGTCTGAATTTTCATGTGAAAAAGCAGCTTGGAAAGAGGAGATTGAGGTAAACAATAAGGAAGATGAAAACCAAAACTTGGATTCAGCTAGGAGTTCTTTCTCTGTAGCACTTAGAGGTGAGTTTTTGTAGTTTTGTACTTAGGAGAGATACTTTGAAGAGAAACATATGTTGTTTTTAATATCAACTCTCTATAGAATGTCAGGAAAGAAAATCCAGATCTGAAACTCTGGCGAAAAAGATAGACTACCAAAGGAATGTTTCGTTGGATCTCAGTAATAATGTTACCTCTTTGTCTCCGCGAGTGGTAAACGCTAAGAGAACTTCAGTATCAACTAATAAATCTAGTGTGTTTCCTAGTCCTGGAACTCCAACTTATCTGCATGGTATGCAAAAGGGTTGGAGCTCCGAGCGAGTACCTTTACGTTCAAACGGAGGGAGAAGCCCGCCAAATGCTGGTTTTTTACCTTTGTATAGCGGTAGAACAGTTCCTTCGAAGTGGGAAGATGCAGAGAGATGGATACTTAGTCCTCTTGCTAGGGAAGGAGCTCCTCGAACTTCATTTGCTGCAACACATGAAAGGCGGCCTAAGTCAAAGAGTGGTCCATTAGGTCCACCAGGACTTGCGTATTATTCCTTGTATTCTCCAGCTGTTCCTATGGTTCATGGTGGGAACATGAGCTGCTTAACATCAACCTCTCCATTTTCAGCTGGTGTGTTGCCAGAAAACGTTGGTTCTAGGGGTTCAACTGCAGCAGCATTTCCTCAAAGAACCGATCCTTGTATGGCTAGATCAGTAAGCATTCATGGCTGCTCTGAGACTCTACCCTCGTTGTTGTCTTCCCACGGTATAGACGGATCAACTCTCTTGTAACCCATTTCTTTAAAACTACTTTTGAGATTTGAATGTAATCATATTGTTCTTAACTTTTTATGCCAAAAATAGAGTGGACAAAGGACTCATGCATCAACACATTGTCCCGCTCTAATAATCTATTCAATATCAGGATCTGAGTATTTCGATATTTTTCGTCTGGTAACTGCTTACTGATTTTGTTACTAATATGTACAGATGAAATCCATGACAGCATTAAGGATCCTGCTACTGATGCTCGAGCTGCCTCAAGAAGGGATATGGCGACTCAGATGAGCCCTGAGGGAAGCATCCGATTATCGCCTGAGAGGCAGTGTTCGTACTCTCCCTCCTCTCCATCAGCACTACCTATTGTGGAACTACTAAATGCTCATTCCAACCGAGCAGAAGTCAAGGACTTACAGGTTGATGAGAAGGTAACTGTAACTCGTTGGTCAAAGAGGCACAGAGCTCTATACCATGGAGATAGCTCACAAATGAGAGACCACTTACATGGAAAAGATAGGGATCCTCAAGGTTTGACATGGTATATTCTAAGCTGTTAAAGTGTCTTTCCCTCTTCCATTTCACCTACAAATTACTTCCTTTGCATTTCTGTTATTTCTGATTTCCCTTCGGTCTCATTCTGGATTATAGTATTGACACATTAATCATTCTCTCTAGTTCTGTAGAATCATATAAGCAACATGAATGCTAGTTTTTAATTCCACCTTCTAAACTACCCCGTTGATATAAACTCACGAATCTGAATAGGTGTACCAGCTCATGGATGCATGCCATCACAGATTGTAATACAAATGAATTGTGATTGAAAGTTTCGTATTTTTGTAGGGCGAAGACCGAGGAAGCAAGAATCATGTCTTGGGAAAATTTGCAGAAAGCTAAGGCCGAGGCAAAAATAAGAAAGCTAGAGGTTCTTTCCTCTCATCCTGTTTATGTACCTTTTTCTTTCTTTCTGAAGCACAAAAACTCAGGCTTGAAGCATAAAATCAATTTCTTACATTTTCTACAAATAGCTCTGAATTAATAAAACGTGTCTCTTGCTATATGATATTTGACTGCTTCAGTGAGCTTGTGTATCACTCACACAGTAACAACTAATGTCAGATGTAATTGTTCTCAGATGAAGTTGGAAAAGAAAAGATCATCGTCAATGGAAAAAATAATGCGAAAAGTGAAATCAGCAGAGAAGAGAGCAGAGGAGATGAGGAGGTCGGTGTTAGACAATCAAGTTCCAAGCGCATCACGTCGAAAAGCAATATCATTCAGAAGAAGTGGAAAGGCGAAGATAGCTTCCCTTAGCGGTTGCTTCACTTGCCATGCTTTCTAGTTGCCCTTTTTTCCAAGAAAATACGGTAAATGAAACTCTTCACTCAATGCGTATGTACCATTTAGCTTTTCTTATTCTTCTTACTTCTAATACTTTGATAGAGCTTGTAACTGTTGATTTTTCAATACATGTGCTTACATTTGTAGTTAGTTCCTAGTTGAGTAAATCCGAGGGATTAATCCACCCCTTTCTATGTACCTTTGTAGTCCCTTGCGTTGTTAGAGGTGAATTGATCCCTTGAGAGGACCAAATCTTTTTACTTAACCGATATATCACATTATGCATCATTGTCTGATCATGTTCATGTTCTAAGCTTTACCAGAACTTTTATAGTTTCAGGAACTGAAACTATGTCTTTCTACTATATAATGCGTGTACAGACCGATCAGACTATATCATAAGCATAGAACAAACGATGAACAATTTAGTTTAGCCTTTTTTGTTTCTGTTGAAAATGTAACTTCTGCTCTATTTTTTCGACATTGAGATTCATGAATAATGACTTAATGAGATCGTAGCTCAACGGGCTATGTGGGATTGTTAAACATTAACACATATGCGAGTCCGAATCTTCCTAACCACTGTAACTAAACTATTTTGTCTTACGAGTGATTAAAGTCCAATGAATCTGAATTTCTTTATAATACTCCTTTCATTCCTTGAGCTTGAATATTAATGTTTTGGGTTGTTCACACAAACTAAAAACAATTAATTTTAGGGTTAATTAGTTCAATATTATGTTTTGAGTAAGAAATTAGGATACTAACATGTCCATAAAAGAATTTAGGTGAGTAGCATAGACAATAAATAGTTGAATAAATCTGCCCCTATTAAAATTAGTAATTATTGCTGTAATAAAATTTCATAAAAATCAGTGGTTAATAAAATTTCATAAAAATTGCTCTTACATTATCTCTGAAAAAATTAGATTTGAAAAAAATTAGGTCAGAAAAAGCATAACTATTTTTGAAATTACATACTCAACTAATCTCAGAACGTAGTTAAGTATATCACACTATTTTGTAACTATTTAAAAATATAGTTAACTGTTTTCAGAAAACATCACACTAAATTCTATTACATAATTGTTAATATTTATTG